AGAATATTTCTTGGCGCCCGTCGAGAGTTTAGTATGAATCTCGTAAGAAATTTAATCATTTACATGGTTGATTTATTATGCATTTGGGTCTAAACTGAACCATAAAAATAAATTTTAGGGCAAAATAATTGGATCTATATTTTGGTATTACAGTGGATTTTAACGAAACCATTCATCAGTAGCTATTCCGGATTTTCCTATATGTTGCGAACAAAGCATGCAGAAAATTTAATGCTATTTAACAGTGGTTATTACATTGTTTGCTTGAATACACTGTGAAAGATGACTGAGGAAAATCTAGAAAAAATAAATATTTTTTCTTATAGTTTTTTTTATTGTTTTAGAAAGTACAATAGGAGTGAGAGATCCCGTAAAAAAAAAAGGTATGGTATATCTGGTGTCATTTCATGATTACTAGCTTCATATCCTCCGGTTAAACGAATACGATTCTGGCTGGACGCCAGCTTACGGTGATTTCACAAGTATTTCTGGTTTATATCAAGACATCTATCAATCCTCTAACAAATTTCATCTTATATACGACTACGTCCTTCTTTGGAAAGAAATCCAATCAGATTTTTCTCAGAACAGCTTAGTGAGAAAGGATGAGTCGTTTTATCAACATCCTATTTTCGGAAAAAAACTTATCCCCCAAATTAATTATGAAGTTTGTAAGAAAAATAAAAAATATCAGTTTTAAAATTCTCACCACTTATGAAATAATTTTAAAATATTAATCAAAGATCTATGAATGATAATGAAAGTTAAATCTGAACGTTATTTTAGAAACTATTTCTCAAAAATACTATGTAAACGATTCAAGAGTATAAAGGTTTATTATCTGTTTTAAGTCCGTCTTTAAATACTATTCCGATAACTCAATAAAAACAAATAATAATTTGGGACAGTTCTAAACAGTAAGTCTAGCAAATCTTAAAAAACAAAAAACACTTCAAAATAGTCCATTATAGTTCCTAATTGTTCCTATAGAGCAAGGAAACATCAAATTTATTTTGGCATGTTTCGGAAAATTCCATCTTTAACATTAGCGTTAATTCCTACATAAAATATCTGTGATATTTTTAATCACTTATTTATCTGCATATAATGAATATGCATATGAATATGCATTCACATCACTAACGTTATAATTTTATACGAAAACTGAAAAGAAAATACCAATACAATGTTTTAATTAAATCTTCAAATTTTCCAAGGGTATTTTTAATTAATTAATAAAATTAATAATTTTAAGGAAATAACATTATTGAACCCTTTCACCTTCTCTCAATACTTCAATTCATTTATATTTTTATTATTTCGGCAACGTTTCAGGCCCACCTTGCCCATTTTCAAATCAAACTTTTATCTAAAATATTACAATACATTAAACAAAAATATGTGTGAAAATGATGTAACAGCACACAAAATACAACAATCTATAAAATTCACAAAATCAACTTAATGAATAAAATATCTATTTACATCATTATCTTATCCTCACCTTCTTCAAATGTTAATTTCATAACTATTTATGTAAAGGCCATTCAACAATTAAAATTAAAATACTGAAAATTTACAATACTTCTCAAATAAGAAAGGCCAAACAATGAATTTTTCAACATTTTACCATACTATTTTATAAATTACCTTTGGACACGTCTCAATAGTTTTTTAAATTAAAATTTTTAAAAACGTTTCATTCAAATGCTACTAATAAAAAACTTCAATATTTCAAAACATTCTAAGCAATTAAAAACTTCGAATTCATAATGGGCCATTTCTCCGCTATCTGGACATCCTTCATCGCTTAGGCTGAATCGAATTTTCAATTGCAATCAATATGTAGTGATTAATTCCTTCAAATTTGATACCTACTTGATTATTTGCTCACCCATTCTTAGATTTCTTCCAGCTTTGATTGAAATCAAATCAATCGTTTTTTAATTACATTTAGATGTACCGAGGAAAATACATTTGCGTAAGCGTAAGCAGGCGTGCCCATCCCCCCTCCCTCCAAGGCCGATGGTTCATAAACCTTCCCTCGTTCATAAACCATCCTATGATATTTTATTTCCCTCTTCTTCTTAAAAACAGTGGAAACGAAAGTGGAATTTGAATATTCATAGATTATAACCATTACACATCCTGTGGTCTGTTCGATGATTTCACTTGTCTTTTGATTTGAAACTTTTCATTTAGAAGATTCGTAACCCCGTCGGATTCTGTCCCCCTTCAAAAAATGAAAACCCCGTCGAAAAAAGCCTCCCTCATTAATTTTGATGCCACAACTTGCGCCATAAAACCCCCTTCTGGGCACCTTTGAGCGTAAGCAAAAATAGGGAATGAAATTGATCATCTAGACTTCAACCCACTCAACCTCTGAAAATTTCTTCAAAATTGGCAGTACCCGTAAACCAGTCACTTAGATTTAAGTACAGATAGGCACGGTACCGAATTGCACTTTATTCCGAGGACAAACATATTTTATTTATACCTCCCACGTGAATGAAAAGCTTCGGTAGAGAAGATGTGAAATTGGCCAAATGAATTATTTAGAATTTAATCAAGAAGTAAGCTAACCTAACAGCTTTGTGCTCAGTTATTACCTTTGCAGGGCTCTTACTTTATATATAAATACATTTTCTGTGGTAAGAGTAAAGATTATCTGGAGTTATTTTATCGTCATGACGTATTTTTCAACGTTATTTTATAAGATGTAGAAATAACTATTAATATATTTGTTTAGTTTAAAATAGTGTCTACTTTTGCCCATGAATCCTACACTTCAGCCAATATTCCTTAAAAACGACTTGATGTCCTGGATATATTTATCACCCCACAGATTTCATCTCTCTTGAACACAGTCAAATCCCTGGACGACTTTTCATCAGATCATAGTCCAGTATTGCTATTATTACATTAAAATCACGCTGCTGAACCCTCCCCTACGAAATTGACGAGTAGACTGGGATAAATTTCATGATGATTTAGAAAATAAACTGGACTTAAAAATTCCATAAATAAAACAAAGCCATAGACATCCTAATAGCAATAATTTGAAATAACACATTCATCAATAAAAGCAATAATTTACGAAATATTAACTTGCCACTACATATTCGAATCTTATTAAGGGAAAAACGCATAGCAAGATCAAATTGGCATAGGAATAGATATTCTTTAGATAAAACTAAACTAAACCGAATTGACTAACGAGCTAAAAGTAGAAATCAGAAAATTCAAAATTACTTAATCTAACTGAAAATCTGACAAATTTACATGGACGACCACATAAAGCTTCTGAAGTATAAATAATTTCATTTCTCACTGCCAAACCTAGTCCAAATCCTATGAAGAAAAATACCAAATATTCGGTCAACACTTCTTCCAAACTTTTAAACCACACCCTGATATTCTTAATTTAACTCACCTCGAATGTATTGAACCATAATTGGATACTCCTCTCCAAATGTTTCTTCTGCCCAAAGCGTGTTATCTCATTGAAATGTTTAACATTATTCTCAGATTACCTTTCTTCATGACCTAATTACATTCCAGATCTTAAAACTTCTTCTTCAAAAAGCTATTCTATTCCTCACTATTGTTTGTGTGTACTGCTCCGATCCACATAATCCCTGATCACCAATCCGCATATCTCACTCCATTATCCAGCAATGCCTCGGTAGGTAGTCTCCTCTCCATTGGAGCGTGGAATGTACTGCACGAGAATCTTTCTCGACGCTAAACAGGCATTTGATAGAATCTAGCACCCGAGACTCCTGTACAAACACCTTAAATTAGTTCTCCTGTACATTTCTTCATTATCCGTTCCTACCTTGCTGATAAATACTTCAAAGTAAATCACAATGATGTTTGTTCATCTCTCTTTTCTCAATCTGCAGGCATCCCTCAAGGTAGTATCCTCGGTCCCATCATCTACACAATTTATACAACTGACATCCGCACCCTTCCTGACAATGTCACCACCATGAACCCGATAACACATCTTTGCTATTTGTTAATAATGACCATTTAATTCTTAGCATAAAGGTAATATTAACCATAATGGCATCCCAAACCCTCCAATCACATATCACAAACTTCGAAAAATGATGTCAAAACTAGAGAATAAAATTCCAATACATCCCATCAAATCACCTTTATCCTCTGTCTTAAACCTACGCCTTCATCTCCCACAGTATCCTTCAATAAAATTTCACTTGTTCCTGTTGAACTAATCCGCAACCTAGGGCAAACGTCGTACTTGGATCCTCATACAAGACTGAAACTACAAGAAATTGCTCGACGTTACCGGCTGCTCTAACACTTACTATACAAACTCTCTAAACTTTCAATTAATTATAAAAGTTCATCTACATGGCCAAAATAAGACCTATATGGAGATACGGAATTTAGCTTTGGGGTTCCACCAAACCATCAAATTCCTATTCTATCCAATACTTACAATCTAAAATCCTTAATGCTCTATAATTTGTCACTAATAAAATCATTCATAAAGACCTTAAAGACCTCCATATGACGCTCATTTGGCCCTAGCCAGATATTTATCCTTTTATAATAAGCTCCGTTCCCATCCGAATCCACAAGTTTCCAGGTTTGCTTCTTCCAGAATACCTGATAATCCTCCAAGGAGTCTGAAAAGACAATGATCTAGTGATCTTCTTATTTAGAACTATTTAGGCTGTGTTACCATTGAGTTGTATCTCGACAAGTCTGTTCATGTCATTATTTCTGATTTGTGCATATTTACTAGTTGTATTTAGGTAATACAGGTGTAAATTTCAATAAATAAAATACAACTTAACTTTTTATTTAATTTCTTCTTTTTGAATATTTTTATATAGCATATGCAGTTAATTTATTTGTAAACATTTTTGTGATTTAAAATATATTGTAAATCAATCTGTAAATTGTTTAGTGACCAAGAGCTTGAATAGCCAAACATTTTTAAATAAAAAGTAAATAAATTAAAATATCTACTCTCTTCTAGGATATAGGCCTTCTTTGTCATCATGATTGGGGTTTACTGAGCGAAGAACCTTTGTCTTTAATGTCGTTCCAATGAACTCTTCAGAGGAATGGTTCTTGTTGTAACAGGAACCTAACAAGAACTAAATAATTAACCGGAATCCAAAGCACGAGTTGATAACAGGGTTCGACCCAAACGACAAAACAGATAATTCTCATTGAGTGGAAGCTGACCACGCGACAAACTCGATGTGGCGCCTACGGAAGACACGTGTCTGACCAGAGGGGCTTTCTGCTGGATGGTGATTGACAAGATGCCCGTCATGGTTGATGATGTTCCTCACGCACTATATAGGGTCGGCTCAGTGGTCAGACCTATTAAAAATATTCAATTCTAGTCAAAATAGGGATGGGAATGGCTTCTGTGTTGAAATATATATTAGGGTCGAGATGGCAGTATTTTAACAAAAATTGTATCTGCTACTTCAAGATGCTTTGTCTGAGCTGAGTAGGAAAATAATAACAACCTAGATCCGAAGCCGTATACACTGTTGTGAAAAAGATTTTGAACAAACCAAATTTTTATAAATATGAATAAATTACTCGACTTAATTTTTTTTTTATCTTCTTAATAGTAAAACGATTTCAGCTTGCAGACATGGTAGATGTAATATATATAATACAATAAATATGTATTTATATGATGCAATACATATTTAAATTAAAACCAATTTGAATCAACAACTCAAAGACCAATCCGTTGGGCTTACGTTTTCAATCCTCTGAATATTGTTACTTTATTCTTTATATTTCATTACTTTCTTTTTACTCTTAATCGTTAACGTCAAGAGCCGTTGAATATATTTCATAAAGCGCAGTGGATCTGTGAAAGTTGTCCTAATATTGAAATATTTTCGGTAAATTAATTTAGCATTCCATGTTCCATAATTTATTTTTAATGATGTAGAGATGGTTGACCGTGGATATAATATGAGAAGGAGTTGATCGGGGGATGCGGTCAAATTAATACTAAATTAAACAAGTATAATTATTCAATTTTTGCCGACGTTTCGACCCACTTTGCAGGTCGTCATCAGGGCTACAAAGATACAAAACATAGTGAAAATAAATGAATATATGTAGATATAAAACAAGAATAAGTTGTCTGATATAGAAATAAAAAGATGATATCAGAGATATAGTGGGTGACAATGTAGTTAAAATAACTATTATTATATGTAGAAGATACAAACAAAAATGGAAAAAAAATATGAAAAAAAATTGAAAATAAAGGAGAATATAGCATGTAAGTTAAAGGTAAACAGATTGCGATAAAAGATAGGGAATGAGTGTATAACAAACTAATAAATCATTATTAGGTTGTTATACACTCATACTCTACAAAATATAATGTACCTTTTAAAAATAACCATGTACCTTTTATATTTTGTATCTTTTGTAGCCCTGATGAAGACCTGCAAAATGGGTCGAAACGTCGGCAAAAAACTAAATAATACTATTTCTATAATTTAGTATTTATTTGACCGCACCCCCCGATCAACTCCTTCTCATAATTAATGAATGGTTTATAATTTAAAATATTACATGCTTCGATTGTGTAAGTATTTAAAATTTTCTTTAATAACTTTACTGTTTTCTGGCATACCAGGGGTGGGAGATGAGATTGTATTTGGGCAATAAATACTACAGACTTGGGCAGTATTTCAAATAAAGTATTTTAAAATAAATACAAAATAAAATACACGAAATGAGGTTTGTTATTTATATCAAACACATAAAATACATTATCAAATTGAGAAGGCGCCTATAAGTTAGGTAGTTCACTCATGAATATTTAGGTCGAAATGTTTTTAAGTCGATATTGCTAAATTTATAATAAAATAATTTTTGACAAAAAAATGGTAGATATTTAAAAATGATGTAAGGTTATAGGATTTTTTCATTAGAAGGATGCAAATGATGATAGATATATTGTTTGGAAAAACATATGTATTTTTATTTATATGATTTTAAAGTATTTTTCCCTAAAGAACAAGGAAAAATCCTCGAATTAATCAGAAGAAATATATTACTTTTTTATTATAATGAAGTTGAAAATTACAGTGAAATCCTCAAGAGATTAAAAAAAAGTCATTAAAGTAGTTAAAGAAACCAAAAATTCCTAGCAAAGTTTCGTTGACGAAAATTATAGTAAACCTAGGAAATTATTAAGAATAATTTTTTTTTTCAGTAAAAAATAAATTTTTCTGTAAGTATTTTAGCTACATGATATTACATGGTACGGTATTTCAAATACACTGTGTTTTAAAAACACAAAATACATGTATTTTAAATACAGTACTTTAAAATAATAATTAAAATACTTTTTCCCCAGGTCAGTACTAGAGGTATAAGCACACCAAATCTAACTAGTATGAGAAGGTCGAAATCTAAGTATGTCCTCTGATCATTCACAAAAATGAATTTGGAGTAATGAAATTTTTTTTTTCATTTTGTGGCAATTTAACCCGAAAGTCTCCCCCAAGGATCCGCTATTTTATACTTCAAATTTGTCAATACATAAACAGAAAAAAGTTTGATCTAGCGCGTTGTTGCAACCAATAAGTGAAATATGTACAATTTTATAGGAATGTTCTAAACAATTTTTATGAAATGGACTATGCATGTGTATGCATTTTTATATGACTACTGTTCTTCTTTCTTAAAACACTTGAAATTTTCAATAGTTTATTCTCATTTTTCAAGAAATGATATGATGTATACAGGGTGTATACGCGTACAACTAACTATCTCAGAAGTGGGTACCCGTCATTTGTTAGAAATTTAAAACAGATACAAAGCGTACGAAAATTAATTTTAACCTATTAATGAAGCAACTAAATTCAAATATTACTTAATATAAAACAACTTAAGAAGTAATTTTTTTTGGGAGAGGTGACTTCATTGCTCGGGGAATGCCAAATGTCTAAAGGCGCGTATGTATATACATTGTGAAATGATAGATATACAAAATAATGTTAACATATATCAGCAACATTGCATTTTTGGATGTAATCATATGCCTTAAGAATATACTGTTGTCGATTATTTTTATTTTGATAATATTAAGATTTTCTAATAATCAGCAGTTATAACGTGAATTCGGCATTTTAACTTGTACAATGAATCCATTTATATAAATATGAGATATTTCAATTCAGCAGCAATATTTTTTATCAGAGAACTGATTGTTTACATTGGTGAAGGATAAGAGAACCAAACATTCATAGTTTGTTGTTATTAAACGAGGCTTTCCTTTGACTTGGAAAGGACCGCCTTCCGGATGCTTAGGTCGGCCTTTTTTAGGAAATATTCGTTGATTATAAGCATGGCCTTCTTTGTATAGTTCAATATTTTGAAAAATGTAAACATGCTAAGCATCAAAGGTTCCTTTGAAGAACCCTACTTCATGTTGAAGCAGCGTAAATTCTGGAAATTTTAGCTAATTATGTGCAGATGACAGATCGTATCATGGACGTACGATGGAGGGGATAAGAAGAGAGCCATTGACTCATCTAAATAATTTGAAAGGAGAGGTTGTAAAAAGTTTTACTGAAAATGAAAGAAAAATAATTTTGTAAACCGTCTTTAAAAATTGTTCTATATGTATTGTATTTCAAATGAAAATATTTAAATACATGTTTTTTGTACTTCACTTCCTCGTCTTTTAGGCTATACAGAGTTTTCTCGGGCTAGTGGGTTCCCTGTCACTGGTACGCGAATACGTAATTATTTTATCAAATTATCTTTCATCTGGTTGCCGAGAAACCGCTCGATCACCCCGTCCAACTTAAACTTTCTAATAACTATAAACGACTTAGTATAATATTATAAAGTTTGAAATCAATTATCTATCTGAGATATCCCTTTTTATTCTGTCCCTCCCCCCTTTTATGAACGCTGCGTATGCCATTGGGTCGTTATTTTAATTTAAAAGCTTGTTTTAATTAAACTGATCGCACTTTGGAGCTATAGCATGATCTTCGTGACTTATTTGAGAAGTTAGGTATTATATCTTTGTGGTTGGAGATTCGCAACTTCTTCGTTATGGATTTTTTATTAGATGGAGATTTTTTCACACAGTTGTGGAAGAGTTTCTATGCAATGATGTTTTTCTGCTAAGCTCGTTTAGTAGGTACCGATGGTGTGGGATTTAATTGGTCTTATATCCAATTAAAAGCTGGTCGGGTGTTGCGTTAAATGAAGTCACATCAAAATCAATTCCGTTTCTTTTGTGAGTCTCAGGTTACATTCAATAAGCCTTGTCCTGACTTTCCTAATGAAAATCGATACCTGGAAATTTTTATTTACTAACGTTTCAAGATCATAGAGTTGAAATGTGATCGTTAAAACCGTAATGCGAATAAAATTCTTATCCATATTGGGTTGTCATCCAATCGGTTTTAATATTAGTTACCTAGCTTAGTTACTTAACCTATTTCGTATAAGCATAATAAAGCCTAACGTTGATTAAAGTTGTTAATAATGAAAATAAATAATAATATATATCAGAAACGAAAGCAGGGAGGGGCAAAAGGGATATTGCCCTGACCTCAGAATTTAGAGGACGACGAATTTTGAGAAAGTTTTACTTCCATTTAATGTTATCCGATGACGATTTTTATTTACATATACATCTCCTAAAATAATTTTGGGGAGCTTCAGCCCGAAGGCTTTTTTTCATATTTAAAATGATAATTAATTTGAAAAAAAGAACAAGAAAGAAACTAACTACATATATGACATAGTGTTTAAGTGATTCTTTAAGTCCTATCAAATGTAATTACACGAACAATAATACCGTAAGAGATAATTTTTAATATTTTTTATCTATGAAACATGGTTATATTTTACCGTTTTGGAGGGAAGAAGGAGGCTAAAACCCAAAAGCCTCTCCCCCTGTAGATCCGTCTATGCAAAGTATCTGCCCAATACTTGGTCACATTAAGCTTTTCTTTTTTAGTACGTTAGGAGAGTTAATTTTGATATTTTTAAGTAGACTAGGCTTTTTAAGACTGTGATAATAGAAGACCTGTTGTTATTTATTTTGCCTGCTGTATTTTTAGATTTTTCATATCTTGATAGGTGAGATCTAAAATTTTGAAATAGGAGTAGTTTTTTTTTCGACTAAAAACTGATAGAGTTTCTTGGAATCAAAAATTACTCTCGATTCCTATTAAACTTAGCACTTTTCTCTTTACTACGTTAACCACCCTAAATTAGATTTTTAAAATAAATTATAGAACGTTCTTAGTCATCTTATAA